GGACGCTGCGCGGCGCCCGAGATGCCGGACACTGACGACAGGCGATGCTGCCGCAGCGGCGGGAAGCCGCCGACACCCAGCGGCGCGGTCCCTGTCCCTGTCGCTAAGGATACGGAGGGCGACAAACCCCCGCCCCCGCCCCCTCCGCCAGGTGCTAGCGGCACCCCGGACGCGGAGGTGCGGAATAGAACCGGCGAGGCCGATGACGGCATGCTGCCACCAGCGGCGCCGGCAATTCCGCCGCCGCCGCCGGCTGCAGCCAGGTCGCTGCCGTACAGCATGCCATTGCCAGCGGGTAGCGCGTCAGAAAGCCGGCGCACCGGCGCCTCATTGAAGACATAAGGCTGCTGCTGCGAATACAACAGGTGCGGCTGTTGCATGGCGGCTGTTGCGGTAATGGACATTACCCCGTGCGGCCCGCAGCCGCCGCCGCCGCCGCCGGGCGGACTCAGCAGGGCGGACGAGGAGGGGAGGAACTGTTCTTGGTGCGGCTGGGGCAGCTGCTGTGAGATTGACGGCATCATCGGCCGGCCCGTGCCCGCGGCCGCGGCCGCCGTTGCACCACCACCACCACCACCACCGACGCCACCGGACCCCAGCACGGGGTCGCTTCCAGCCAACAGGAGATCCAGTAGCGGATCCAAACTGTTGTCAGTTGTTGGATCCAGTAACAAATCCCGATCTGGGCCCTGGATCCCAAGCAGCGCCAATTCTTCTTCCGACAGTTGGTCAGGTGCCTGCAACCCAGCGGCACGTCCGCCGCCACCGCCACCGCCACCGCTGCCGCCGCCAGTGACACCCGTCATCATCGCCTCCAGCCCCAATAGTAGACCACCTGCCGCCGCCGCAGCCGCCGAAGCAGCGCCCGTGTCGTTTAGGATCGCATTGACACCGGCAGACACGACGGAGGCGCTGCCGCCGCCAATGCCGACGGCAACACCGCCAGCGCCGTCACCGAGGCCGCCGTACATGGCTTCAACCAAGCCGGCGCTGGCGCCGTATCCGACGGCTGGGCCGGGGGCGGCGGCGCGGATGCCGCCGGGATGCTTCGAAACCAGTCCCTGGATGCGTACGTCCCCTCCGAGGCTGGACTGTAGGTGGAGGGGGTCCGGGGGCAGGTGGACTCCCGCCGGGCCCCTGCTGCCCCACATGCCCTCCAGAGGCCCTTCTCGGGAGGCGGGAGCGAAGGCCGCCGCGGCGCCATCGGCGGCGGCGCCGCCGCCATGGCCCACCGGCGACGCCAGGTTGCGCCGCAGCAGTGGCGAGCCCGGGCCGCCAGCCAGAAGGCCGGCGGCGGCGGCGGCGACTGCGGCGGCGGCGCCAGTGCTGAACGGCCCCGACGGCCCGCCGCCGCCCTGCAGCGTCCGCGGCGTCGCGTTGCCGCTGCCGCTCTGACGCCGCGCCGCGGACCCCCCCTGCTTGACAATCTTACCATCTGAAATGACGGAAAGCAGCGCACTGCGTTCTAAAGAGGACGAACGCCGGCCCAGGCCGCTAGCGCCAGTGCCGCCAGCAACCCCGCCACCAGCGGCACCGCCGGACCCTCCAAGCTGCGCCGCGAGGCGGCGCTGTACGGCCCTGCGCGGGCTGCTCCCGAAGCCCGCGCCGGCGGCCGCAACAACGACGCCGTCGTCTTCAGCGGCGGCGGCGGAATCCCAGACAGGAGAGTCAGCGGCGGCGGCGACAATGCCGCCACCGCTGCCGTTCTCCTGTCCTGACGCTGTTGGCGACGTCACGCTGCCGCGTCCCAACGTCAGCGGCGGCGGCGCCCCTATCCTCCGGGGGGGGAGGCGCCCGCTGCCGCTGCCGCCGCCACCGTCGTCGCCGTCAGCGCTGCCGCTGGCGGGCTCCCAGCGCGGCCCTGCCGCCCCCCCCCCGGCTGCTGAGTCTGCTCCTGCCCGCCAGGAGCACCCGCCACCAGTACCGGTACCGGTATCTGTGTCGCCCGCTGACCCGGCCCGCTTTCCGGTCTTAGCGGCGCACTTGAGCTTTCGGTTGTAATTCAGTTTGTAGTTGGACCTGACGGCGGTTACCGAAAACGAGAAAGGACAACAGAATGTGGTTGGGACATCAAAACTCAGAAGTATGTTAGTAAAGCACTAAAACGACCCTGGGAATGGAGTAATGATGTAAACGTGTATCTCCGGCGAGTTGGAGAACGGATACGGCCAGGACGGGTCTCTCAAGACATCACAAGGAGTGGGCGGGCGGGAGGGGATTCCGCCGCCGAGTGGCGACGATGATGATGGTGAGATGATGGTGGCAACGACGGATGACGAGATCGACAGCAGCATTGCACCAACAAACCCTAAATATAAACACACACACACGCACACGCACGCACAGCATCTTTAAATCATTATCTTGCCGAAGTTTAGACAATCTAGGTTCGTACGGCACAGTACGACACGGTTTTGTGGCAGGCCAGTTAGGCTAGGATGGAAGCCGTTCACACCTCCGATGGCCTCCCCCGCTTTCCGCTCCCCTTCCCCGCTACCCTCCCCCGCCGCTCACTTGCGCAGCTGCTCCAGCTCCTTATCCAGCGGGTGGTTCGGATCCTGCATCACCTTGCAGTACTCGGCATCAATCTTGGACATGATGGACTGCATGGACATACAGACATACCGTGGCGACATGGACGAGCACGAGGAGGGGGAGGAGGATCACTAAGACGGCGCCAGGGACCCGCGGGGACGGCAACCAGGAGGCGGGGAGGAGTCCTCCCCCCCAACCCTCCTCCCTACCCTTCTCCTTACCCTTCCCCCTTCCCCCTCCCCTCCCTCTCCCCTTTCCTCCCCCCTTCCCTCTCTCCCTACCCTTCCCCTTCCCTCCCTCTCATCCCTACTTACCCTCCTCCCTCCCTATCCCCCTCCCCCCTCCCCTCCCCTCCCTCCCCTCCCTCCCAACAGACAGATAGACTGACAGACAAACAGACAGAGCTGCCTGCCTGCCCGCCTGACGCACCTCCCGCTGCGCCGCTGACAGCCGGGGGTCGTTGGGCAGCGCATCCCGCAGGAACAGCAGCGAGGCCAATTTACGTTGCGGCCAGCGGGCAATCTTCATTTTGTGGCACCGCCGCTTGAGCTTCGAATGCGCCACGCCCAGAGCAGCCGCGGCGTCCACGCAGGGCAGGTGGAAGACCTACCAACACGTGCGCGAGTGAAGGCACGGCGTGTGTATTGACACGAGCGTTGGGGCATTTTGGGGGGGGGTTCGGGGGCGTGATAATTGATGAGGAGGGGTGTGTGGAAAAAAATGGTGTGGGTATGGGGGAAAAGGAGGGACTTGAAAGGAGGGGGGTTGAAGCGATGTGAGAAGGTGCACCGGGGAACCCGACAAGATCTGGACGCGAGCGAGGAGGGAGAAGTCACGGGCGGTTGTCTGTGTGCAGTGTGTTGGAAAGAATTCGCGCTGAGGAGATGTGCGGCAGCCAGAACCTCAGCGGTGAGGTGGTTTGAGTTGGGATGGAGTTGGGGGGGAGGGCGAAAGGTTAGGGTGTGGGGGTTTTGGGGGCTGGGCTCCGGGACTCACCTTGCGGAGTGAGTCCATGGACAGGTCGGGTGCTGTGGCAGCGGCTTCCTCGCCACTTTCGGATCCGCCACCGCCATCGTCGAAGCTGTATGATTCGTCGTCCCCGCCCTTCTTACGCCCCGCCGCTCGCTTATCAGCGTCAGATGACTTTTTGTTCTTCACCATGGTAATCCAAGCCTTCACGCTGTTCAAAGAGGCCGCCAAGAGCTGTGGAAAAGACTGGCAACCACCGCTGTCCAACTCGTGGACGAAATATCACAGTTGTACGAAGCTTAAGGCTGAATCCTCTGTACGTTCTGGACTCTGGTAAGCAACAGTAAATTGTGACGAGGAACCGGCTTCGCAAAAGATGTTCCACCACCCGTGTAAGGCAAGATTTCCTTAATTTTCCTACACAATTTCCTTATGCAATTGCGTTGTAAAAGGACATGCGCCTTGCACGCCTGCTTTGAAAGAAAGAAGGCCCTCCGTGACGAGGACAGTCTTATCGAATGCGATCTAGGAGCCGACGTCATAAGAAATCAATACGAATGTAGACATGCATCTAATATCTTCAGGGTCAGGTCGTTCATGCGCTGGCAAAAGCTCATCCTATAAAGCTAACAGCAACTTGCTCCAAGGCATTATTCTCAAATATAATACGTTATATGCATGGCTGTGTGTCCATACGTCCTCTGTTCAGGCGTATCGTGAGCATTCTTGTTCGTACGTTGGCTTTTGCAGAAACGTTGTACAGTTACGCTCGGCATCTTTACCCAAAGCCCTGAATGCACGCCTGGAAATATTCAACGCCTAGGGACCACTGCCCGAGACGCGAAACGCATTATAACGGCGCATTAACCTCCTGATGCTCCTCGACCATTTTTACGGCAACTATACTGGGATAACCCTTTCAAAGCAGTACATGCTCGAAGAATTGCATCATCCCAGCCCAAAGAGCTCGAAAAGGGCGTGCGCCTCACTCGCTCCTGGCGTCCAGGGTTTGGCCTCCGCTACCGGTTGCTGCAACCCCACCCCAACTGCCCACGTGTCCGACCTACGTGCCTTTTTCCTGCATACTGTACTCTTTTTCGGCGACAACTAGGAACAGACGAGCGCACGCCCGTTAGAAGGTTATAAAGGTTTCCAGGGAATTCCTTCCTTTCCCGCCATCCTCCTGTAGCCTAGCGCAGAAAGGGTTATCTCCACCAAGAAAAGGATGCAAGAGCATTGTTTTATGTATAACGACACGTATACGCATCCGCTATAGCAAACAGCGTCGCTACCGCGCTTGTGATTTATGATATGGACACGACACCTAATTCGTTTTGCATTTTTTTTGCCGAGCTCATGGCGCGGCTGGCCTGACGCAAGTTGCCTCACACCACCGCCCAACAGCCGTCCCGAAAGGGCGCGACTTCCCCAACAGCCAATCCCAGGAAGCGGCACCTTTTCCACAACCTTTCCCCAAGAAACTCAGATCAGCGATGCCAAACGACTCCTTTCCCCTTTCCTCCCAAGTTACTTTATCCGTTGTACCTCCCCCTCTCCATTGTTTAGAAGAGTAGGGCCGTGTCCCGGGCCGTCTTGCTTCCTTCCCCCTCCGGGTGCTGCTGCTCTCACATTTCGCATTCAGCAGATCACATTCCGAAAAAGTTTGTGACCGCTCTCCAGTGCTATTATTTCCCCTCGTCCACCTTTTTCTTACAACGTCTCAAATTTTCATCAGAGGGCTAGATGAATCGCCGAATGTGCCTGCCGACTTCCTCCGGTCGTTCCACGAGGAGGGGACACACGGCGCAAAAAACACACGCACGTACATGCATACCCCCCCTTACCCCCCTTTGTCCATTGTCATTGCTAGCGACCCTCTACACCCCTCCCCCACGATCTTGTCCTTCAAACCCCGCCAAGCCGACCTGCCGCACCCACCCCCAGCTCCCCCCTGCCGCCGCCGCCGCCACCCGCGCTCCCCTCTCCCCTCCCCTCCTCTCTACGTATCCGGCCACATCGCCCCCACCCTGACCAGCATGCCCCCCAGCGCCGCCAACTCCCCCGCTAACTTGCGCCGTTCAAAGTAGACCCCGCAATCCAACGAATCGCACACCACACCGCCCCGACCAGAGTTGAAGCAGTGCACCTCGCATGCAGCCGCGGAAGGAGGCGACCAAGGCGCGGCGGCGGTAGCGCCGCCGCCACCACCAGCTCCTCCCGCCCTTCCCCCGCCCCCTCCCCCTCCCCCGCAGTGCAGGCATATTCGGACCATGTGTGTGTATTGT